CTTCAAATAACAGAATTTAAGAGCTATTTTAAGGGAGGGGGTGTTTGGTAGTCTGCTGTGTGCCTGAAATAGAAGTAAAGTGGGATGGCAGCTTCTCTGTGCAAAAACGCCACAGTGAGTGATGTATGGCTTTAGGCTCCAAACTCTAAACTCTCACAGAACTTGATCTCGCTGCTTTGAGTTAAAGGTGACAGATTCACTCACTTTGTTATGATCTGAATAGAAAATAATAGTAGAAACAAAATCATTATGCACTGAGAGCTTGAATCCCGCCCTCCAAAGACATGTGGCGCTTTTCCACTGGCATACAGGAACCGATCCTTGCCCGAGCCGTACTGTGAAGAGAAACTAGTTACAGCACAGTTCCAGTTTGGTTTTTCACTGCAGATGGGTCGGAATGGAGAGCGACAGTGACGGAAAACCGTGTCAGCATGGGTACGGGTTGGGTATGGGTCGCATACTTTGCAGTGGAAAACCGTTGGTTCATGGTACGGTTCCGTTTCTGGTGGCAGTGGAAAAACGCCAATAGCTGAGTAAACTGGAGTCTTTCTGAGTGTGTGCCCTGTGATGGACTGGTATCCTGCCTGTGGGGGTACCCCTGCCTTATGCTGCTGGGATAGACACTAGATGACCCACCAAGCAACTGGAAGATGGATGGAACATTTCTGCATTCCCAGTGTTTAATTTGTAGTTAATGATTCACTTCAATTTGCTGTTTGTTTACCTGCTGGTCGCGGTTCAGCAGCCATCGGTTTGTCATCTTCTTGTGTAAAATGCATCAGGGCACACAGAAGCAGATTAGAGGTGCGATTTCTGTCTGGATCTTGTTTGCATTGTGACATTACTATGCCTCTAAAAACTTGCTCTCAGTGACCAGACCTGCACCATGCCGACACCTTAAGGCTGTGTCATACTCACTGCAGACGGGCTGCAGTGCGTGCAGCTATTGTGATGTAATTTTTGTCACAGAGGGAGACCGCATTTGGGGCTATCGCTCAAAAACCTAAACAGTGTGGACATTTGTTTTTAATTATTTAGATAGAAGAAAAACCTAATTAACAGTGGTTCGATTTTAGCAAGCAATTGAATCTACACACTGTTTATTCTCCACTGTTTATTCTCAGGATTTATGTCTTCAGGTGGCGAGGCCTTAGAGTGACCCCTTGGAACTGCATTGCATTAATTTCTCTGCAGGAAATGAGAATCGTGTGAATCGGGGTGCATTGACTGTGTGGGATGGGTTTGCCCCTGTGTGGAACTCCACCCTGGCTCCTGGGGGGGTGGGGGGGTGGGGGGATGTGTGAGGTTGTGAAGCTGCAGAAAACTCCCTCCATTAACATACATGGCCAGCGTTCGGGAGTCGTAGCAGTTATAACTTCTTGACAGCTCCGAAAGCTGCGGAGGGCGGGATGGCTTGAGGTCGGCGGTCTGCACACCTTACACGAGGCAGAGTGAGGACCCTCTCTGAGGCAGCCCAATCTAACGCCCTCCCCTTACACGAGGCAGAGTGAGGACCCCTCTCTGAGGCCGCCCAATCTAACGCCCTCTCCTTACACGAGGCAGAGTGAGGACCCCTCTATGAGGCCGCCCAATCTAACGCCCTCTCCTTACATGAGGCAGAGTGAGGACCCCCTCTGAGGCAGCCCAATCTAACCCCTCCCCTTACACGAGGCAGAGTGAGGACCCCCTCTGAGGCAGCCCAATCTAACCCCTCCCCTTACACGAGGCAGAGTGAGGACCCTCTCTGAGGCAGCCCAATCTAACGCCCTCCCCTTACACGAGGCAGAGTGAGGACCCCCTCTGAGGCGGCCCAATCTAACCCCTCCCCTTACACGAGGCCGAGTGAGGACCCTCTCTGAGGCCGCCCAATCTAACCCCTCCCCTTACACGAGGCAGAGTGAGGACCCTCTCTGAGGCAGCCCAATCTAACGCCCTCCCCTTACACGAGGCAGAGTGAGGACCCTCTCTGAGGCGGCCCAATCTAACCCCTCCCCTTACACGAGGCAGAGTGAGGACCCTCTCTGAGGCAGCCCAATCTAACGCCCTCCCCTTACACGAGGCAGAGTGAGGACCCTCTCTGAGGCGGCCCAATCTAACCCCTCCCCTTACACGAGGCAAAGTGAGGCACCCC